CCGCTCTGGAAGCCCGGATCTGCCATGTACCTTAAGACTACTTTCATTTTTTGTACGAGTGAAAGCGCACCTTCCCTGGTTTCCAGAATCTCGCCAATGAATTAGTCGGCTAACCACTGCTTGTTTAGTTCGTCTAACTGAAAGAGGCTTAGAAAATCTCCCTGACGTAGAGTACCTGCGTCTTTCTTTTCTCGTACATGCACCATATCCGTCATGGGAAATTCAAAATCACGATCGCCCTATAAGTGCATATAAACGAATGAAGTGGAGAATACTTTGGCACAGAAGCTGCTCTGTAGTAGATGCATATTTTCTGAAGCAAATCCTTCAGCTTTAGAGTAATTGCTACTGTTTATGAATACCGAAAAAGTAAAACCTTCTCCTTTAGAGCAATACCTTTTTGCTAGAAGTCCAAATCTTTTCCTTCTTTGTTTTTATGAATAGAATATGAAGTAAATGCTTCGATTTCTGCAAGTAAAAGCAAGTCCTCTTTTTTATAAATACGGCCTATTATGTTTATGGGCCAGGGGGAATTTGGGGTGTGTATTTCTACCACCCTGTGGTAGGAATACGTCGTCCGATCTCGCATAACATAAAAACAACAAGATACTCTGAGCAAGAACGGAACGTATTCATAAACTCGCTGCTCGGTATTGTATATTAGTAGGTCGACATACTGCTTTGTAACTGCGTGCTCCAGAAGCGGGAGGCGGAGTTAAGTCTAGTGATGGGTTGCCAAGTGTAATTAAAATGCAGGACTCGCAGGACTTCATACCCATGTAAGAGAAAGTTAATAAATATTCCTACGACCAAATATGGCATTTTAGTAGTGGGGCAGTTTGGTCAGGATAGAAATAATCAGACATGTTGTCGACATATATTTTTGTTTATACATCTGTCTATTTGTGGTTTTAGGTCATTGTGAACAACCCTTACTTTCATAAAAAAAAAAAATTAAAAAGAACTTACCACGAGGGATTCGAAATTCAAACTTGAATAAAACGGTAATCACAAGAGTTTCAATAGAAAATATTTCCGTAATCAACGAAACTTTGCCTTACGCAACTTTATTTTGTCATCAGGCACTAGTGATGGCCGGTAAGGTACCTACATACTTTTTCCACCAGAACGCTAATCACATTTGACTCACGAAGATGGCTGCCCCCAAACCAGGATCAACCTTTCAGGTCGAAAGTCAAAAATTAAAAGGAATTTTTCAATAATTTTTAAGAAGGAGAAAAACATAAAAAACGCGATATCTCGAGAGCGACCCTCTTTGGGATCTAAAAATGACGACCGAGTTGGAAATGTATTTAACCCCCTCATCGATGGGGAGAGTTAATTTTCAAAAATTCGGTGAGGGCGAACCGATGGTCCTATCGAGCTGAAATTTGGTACGTTTGTAGTGGAACGCAAGCTTTATCGAAAAAAAAAATACGGAGATCCCCTGTCTAGAAAGTAAAGCCTCCTTGGGAGCCCCTAATTTTTTTTTTTTGGCCGGAATGTGGATTGAAGAGGTCTGAAAAAGTTGATATTCCAAGTTTCAGCCCTCTACGACCTACTGGAGGTGTTTAAGCTCCTATCCCTCCAATTTAGAAAAAGGGCGTGTATTGGGGTATACACGTCCTGCACTTACTTTTCCAAATTTCGAAAAATCAAAAATACCATTGGATAGAGGAGCAAAAAATACGTCGGGAATGTCTCAAGGCGTTTTTCGCTCCGACGCATCCTAAGCCCGCAAAAAAAATAGGAAAGATTTGGATCCTGGAAAATTTTGGAGACCCGACACGGCGCCACACTTTTGGTTATAGCTTCGGTATTTTTTTTGAGTCAGGTTTCTTTCGAAACATGATTAAATTACTACAAAATTGTTTTTCCTCTAGCCGTGCGGAAAAATCGATTTTCCGCATTGATATGCGTGCGGAAAATGAGTTTTCCCGCACGGTGCGGTAAAACTTTTACCGCACGCATATCAGTGCGAAAATAGTTATTTACCTAACAAATGCGGAAAGTGATACTTTAACGCACGCAACGGCAGTTGACCGAACGACGCGAAGCGGAGTTCGGTCAAGCCGTTAAGGGCGGTAAAGGCACTTTCCGCATGTGTTAGGTACAAAATTTTACCTATGAGCATCTAGGTATATCTCCAAAAAAAGGCATTGATAAAATTAATTAATGAATCAGATTAATTAATGAAATAAGATTAAATTTAGAAATGATCAAAAATCCATTTTCTGAAAAAGAAAGAAATTTTGATTATAAACATCAAATTCTACTTTACCGCACACTTTGTAGTCCACTTTACCGCATACTATGCTGTAAAGTTAACTTTACCGCACACTATGCTGTAAAGTTAACTTTACTGCATAGAGTGCAGTAAAGTAATACTTTCCATTTTCAAATACGTGCGGTAATGTGCACTTTACCGCACGCTCGTAGGTAAAAGTTTCTCCGCACGGCTGTCAGTGCGGAAAAAATTTTACCGCACTGATATGTCAAAAAAAAAAAAATTACATTTTTACGCCTGTAGGAAAAATATTGTACCTAACACTTGCGGAAAATATTTTTCCGCACTCGGCTGCTTCACCGAACTCCGCTACGCGTCGTTCGGTGAACGGCAGCCGCGCATTTTCCGCACTTGTTAGGTAAATAACTATTTTTATTGATATTCCAGGTGGTTTCTGTCTCCGAGATATAAGCCGTCAAGTTGGAATTTCTCTGAAAATGTATTGAAAGTTTTTGAAGTCAATTTTCTCAAAAATCGTACCTCATAGAGGGGTAACTCTAATAGGCTTTTTTGTAGTTCTTAATGAGATCTACAAGTTTTGTAGAATTTTTTTTTCCCAAGCTCTTCGTTTTCCAGCCAGGATGCTTCGAAAATTAAAAAATTAAAATAAAGGTTTTTTTGAATTTTTTTTGTCGCGACGGTGTAAAGGGGATCCCAAATATCTCCTAAATAGGATCAATTTTTTTTTCCCGTTTTTTCGTATTTTTTTTTCAACCATACCTTTCATCACCATTCAATTTGATTTTAAATAGAACTACCTACCTGCTTCTAAAGAAAGCTTTCACAATTTGGCAATGACGTAGTCATTGTTTTGTGTTCTCTCCTTTCTTGTAGAAGATCAAGGGTTGCGAAGTGTGGATAAAAATCACACGGTTTTTGGCGTTCGGAAGGGTGATTCACACGTACTGATGCGCAAACCGAACACTCTATCTAGACTAGAGTGAAATTTAAGCTGACATTTTGAGGATGCACTCCCTGAAATAATTTTCACACCAAGAACCAGGTTCTCGAACACAGCCCTGATGTTCAAAACAGACTGGTTCATAAACATTCTATTTTCATAAGTGCGAGAAAGAGGGCCTGGCCTCATTCTAGAGTCAAACAAATTCTATAGCACCGCTTTTGGAAAGTGTGATCCGATCGAATTAGTAATCTCATCGTTCGTAAAATGATCCAAACGAGTACTCGCACTCGGTAAGAGATCTTGTTGACTCGGTTTTCTCATATGTTTGTGATCTCATTAACCCTGCTCTTGACGTAGGTAGGAAATTAATCTATCAGCTGTTTGATTTTTTGGCTTATGTGTTATGTTTATTTAATGTTTTATTTTCATTTTGTCAAGTTTTGTGTTTGAATATAGTGCGCCCGTAGGGCGCGAGTTATCGATGAAAACTCCCACCACATACATTCGTGCCCATAAGGCACGAATAAAATTGAATGTCCCCCACCCACATCATTTTAATTAAAATTTCCAATAAAAATTGGAGTCTGAAGAAGGTGGAAGCTGCAGATTTTGTGAAGACGCAGAAGAGACACTTCACCATTTTCTACTGAACTGCGATGGTGTTAGTCGCTCAAGGACGAAGAACCTGGAAAGTCCCATTATACAGTTAGCAAACATTCCAGCCATAGAACCGCTATAGATTTCCTGAAAGACCTAGAACTAGAAGGGCTGCACGAACTTAGCAGTAGCAGGAGAAGTACAATAGATCAACTTTGGTAGCAGTGCAACTGATACCTGCAACATACATCTTTTCCACAACAGAAAGTAAAAATATTTGCCTGTAGTATCCACATTGATCCTTGTCTTCCTTTTCCAAAATAGCAACTATGGAGGCGCCTCTAACAACTCTAGATAAAGGCATAGCAACAGAAACTAATATTTTAGGCGACTTCAATGGTAAATTAGGCAAAATTGGCAACAACTTCGGATGCAAATCCGAAAATGAGAGAGGAGAGTGAATCTATGAACGTCTAGAACAACCAAAACTGTTTGCTGTTCCTTCAAAAGAAGGCTCAACAAAAGATAGACTAACTTTCAAGTTGCCTCAGTTATTAACAGCGATCATAGAGCTCCAAATGAATGAACAATCAGTATTATATAACATGGATTCAACAGAAAACTTTTGAATCAAGAAATAAATATTAAAGAAGAAAATTGATGAGGCAGAAAAGAAGACATGGAAAAAGAAAAAAACCCAACGAAACAATGCTAGAAAGAGCCATAGAAGGCAATAAAGACTCACATTCTCTACAAACCTCATGTATCATAATCTATAGACCTTGTAACTAACTAGCCAGAAAAATTTATTGTGAATAAGTTTATTTTAGATGGGCCTGTTTATCACATCCTCTCTTTTCGACTTGATAAAGATTTGAGTACTACATTTATTCTATAATATTGACCATCAACATCTATCAATCCCAAGGTTTCCCACAGTCGATGAACTTTAAACCAACTTTCTTCTCTAACGAAATTGCTTTTTCCAGGTGTTGTTGAAACCTGGATAAATGGTTGTGTTGATCAAATTTGCTGTTTGTTTGAAAGCCTCAGGTAAACCGGAACTATTTGAACATAAGATTTGAGTCTTACATTTCTTACTAATATAATTCCTTACTGTCTGGTCTTCAAAATGGTTCTTCATATTGCTTACACTGTTTCACAGGCTGATTTAGGTAAAGAATTTTCTAGCAAACAAAACATTTTTTCTAGTATCCTACGAGATAACATCAATAAACTACGTGTGGAAAAACGACGAGGACGTCTTGAGAAAGTCTCCAAGCTTAACGACACTCAACGCCTATCTAATCAATAATCAGACGCTAATATGCCCTATACAGTCTAGTTGGAGAGGTAAGCCGCACATTTTCTCTATTTAGTTTAGAAATTCCTAAAGTCATTATGACTGATGACTCTCCAAAGAAAACGACAATTTGTCACGAATTAACCCACCCAAAAAAATAACTTCAGCCGACTACAAAAAGCTTATGATAAATGAACGGCTTTGTGCGGAATCTGACCTGGTTATTTTAGCTTCCCGAATGCTTTTAGACTTAATGATCTTTAGATTTTCGTTTACAGAAACTAGATAATTGAAAAAGTTGCTTTTGACTTTTTTCTCTAACAATCAAACTGCTTAAGTGCAAAGTAGCATGCTACATAAACATTGCCCTGATTCAACTTACTAAACAATGTGCAAAACATTCCAATTTATCCTTGAACCACTGAACTTCGATTGACTTAAAGAGGGAATTATAGAATTATTATTATTTCTAATATACGATATAAAAAGGAAAAATTCTGTATTAATTTTTCTTCTTCTTTCAGGAAACTATAGCTGCCTAAGGGTACACTTAATATTCACAAGGGATCGAGCGTTTTACTTCACGACGGTTTTTATACCGGGAATAATATTAGTGACGTCTTCGTTTATTACATTCTGGTTGGAGTGGAACGCTGTACCAGCTCGGGTTATGATAGGTAAGAGGTAATTCTATTTCTCCGTCTCAAGATTCTTTATTATTGGATTTATGAGGAAAGTGCTCTAAATCAGAGATTCAAATTATTCTAGTACAACGAATAATAATATTATTTTAGTCAGTTCATATTTTATGCACTTTTGATTCAATTCCAGTCTAATCTTAATGTTAAAATTAGAACTAGTTATTAATCACTCTAAAGGAGTAATATCCCTTATTTCTGCTCGAAGCATTGGCGTACAATTTTTCATGAAGGAAGTGAAAAATTCTCGTACAATTTGTCTCGATTCTAGGTGTGACCACAATGCTCAACTTTTTCACCACGTCCAACGGTTTCCGGTCGACACTTCCGGTCGTGTCCAATTTAACGGCGATGAACGTGTGGGACGGCGTGTGTATGTGCTTCATTTACGCCTCGTTGCTGGAATTCGTTTGCGTCAACTACGTGGGACGAAAAAGACCGTTGCACAACGTCGTCTACCGGCCTGGTGAAAACCCATTTACGCAGGTGAGAATTTTATGCCTAGTTTTGCTGCTTAAATGCTAAAATATTGTCAAGATGGGGTGCCAGAGGTTGCGATTATTGTTTAATAATCAATTTCATTTATATTGTTTTTGCTTAAACATTAACAATAAGGTTTTTGACTAAGGTTGCCAACACAAACAACATCAATTTCTTTGCATACTTTTTGTACTGTATCATGCGCTGTTGCGCTTCTTTAATCACTATTTTTCTTCTATATTTGTCTACTTGCATGACTTTTCGAGCATGGTCTCACTATACTTTTCCTCCACTTTGAGTGTTAAGTGTTGAGTGTTGCTACAATTAAATATAAATTTACAAAAGCTTCTGTGAGCAAACATTTTTAATGGTTATGTTGTTGTATATTAGGACTTTAACTAACTTTCTCTCCTCATATCATAGAAAAAGGAAAGTTGTTAGAATCCAGAAATCCTTTATGATAACATACACTGGCAACTGAATAGCTTTATGAAAGTCAGAGATAAAATGCTGTGTCAGCGACATCTAGTTTGCAAAGAGTGGCAGAAGCTTCGAAAAAATAAGCGAGGTTCCATTCATTCAAACACTGATCATTACTTGAATGTTTAAAACTTCTTAGCTCACAATCTACGTGGATACGATTGCTGCTTGTTTAGGTTACAAGCTCACAATATACATGAATGATACTTGTTTTGAAAAAATCCAATTTGCACTTATTGTACTATACAAATGCAAGGCAAATGGCTTTTTGTTTGAATCAAAGCTGAGCAGGATTTGATTTTGCTTTGTCTATTATTATGTACAAATGTCGTCTGTCATGCTGATGTTGGCATCTGATTAGAAAATGTTCCTTGTCCTTTTACAGCGATTGCCGGCTGTGCTGAGCAGGATAGGCATTATACTGGCCAGTCCATTGGTAAGCCTAGCCTTATATTTTATCTTTAAAACCATCAATTGCATTTTTGATTATCCTAACAAATAATCCGAGCATTTTATTGCTTAATTTTTTTTGCCGAATTTTTTTGATTGCTTACCCTACCCAGGACCTAACTTTTTGAAGCTTTGCTTTTTTTACTAACAGCCATGCTTAGATTACCCACATTTTCAGGTCATAACATACACAAATGATTACAAAGGATAAACGATTTGGAGTTTTGTAATGCAAAATAAGCATAGTTGCTGGTCATCAAAGGGCAATGCTTTATTACGAACGTGCACGGCCAGTATATTATCTAACAAATTTTTCATGAGCATGATTCCTGCTCAGCTTGGCATGATGTTAATTTGAAAACAGCATGAGTGGAAATTTGTTTAAAATAATTATAGAGTAGCGTTAGATTTGTGAAGAATTTGCTCTAAAAGCTTCTCTATTGCCTTTGCATCCAAATTAAAAAATCTCTAAAGCGATTTATCACTAACCAGAGACAGCACAAAGAGTATTCAAGTTGATACACCGGCTTATTGTTAACCGAAATTTATTTCATTTTATTTTTCCATTTTGTTAGCAGACGGCAGAGCAAGAATATTTTTCTACTTTCTGTGAAAGCCCCACTTTAAGTCAACAACTTGTAAGTTCTGAATCTAACCTGTTGATTGATTATTTTGGGGTTGACAAACTAACACACTTTGAGTTCATTTCAATTGATGTAGTTAACAATATTTAGTGTAACCCGATTAAATAGGTGTGAATCTAGGCTTGAATTCTACTAGATGCGTAGATGTATGACCTCGTCGTTCCTAATTGATTAATCATATGACGTTAACAAAATAGTGTCGAAGAACATTGTGTGTGTCAATCAATAACTTCTATATCAGTGTGTCAAATATACTTTTCGTATTTTGCTCCTAATTTGAATCATTAAAGATTAACCTTACACATGGTACGAAGGCGAGAAAAATCTCACACAACTCTAGACTCCGAAGGTAAATTCGTAGTTGGAATCCCATTCAATGTTACATAAGATTAGTTTAAGTCACAATGGTCGGGTACTATAATAGTAGATTATACCACGAGTCAATAATGTATTATAAGGCTTCTTGTAACTTTTCCACAATTTCTGCTGGCAGCCATTACCTCTCCACAGCATTATTTCCTTGCTGAAGTTCATCTCTCCCAGGTATCACAATAGCCTTAAAAGTAAATATGCAGACCAACATCCTCGGTGTTCCATATAACATTAGAATTTTTCAAAAATATATGTTGTCATGGTCATGAACTACGCATTCAGTAGACAACCAACCTAACCAATTTTTAGAAAATTTATATATTAAGTCATAGGATGTTTTTCTACTATGTAGTTTCTTTTATGGTAAAAACATTTCAATCAAATTCTTTCCATAGGGTGACAAAAAGCAAGATTCGACAACGGTAGCAAACGAAATTTCGACTTGCCCCAATTGCGGACCAAATCCATGTACCCACACGAACAATGGCTGCCCAGCAGCTGAGGTACCTAACATTTTATTTAAAAAATTATTGTATTTTGCATGACTAGTAATTTAAGATGAGTGAGGAGCATAAATAAATTGCTTTTTTCTGTCTTTGCTACACACAGACCAGTACTATAGTGGTAAGTTGTTTGAAATTTTGTCATTTAGCACATTGGGTTCAGCTTTGTTTTATTGAGCGTTTATTATAGCACCTCATCTCTAGTCAATTTTTGCTTATATTGTCAAATTAACAGCCACTTTTGTGCAATTTGTACTGCCCCAAGCTGGTTGCACATAGTTGGCCTTAGTAAATGTGCTAGGGGATTTTTAGCCCAAAATCAGTCATTTTTCCATGTAAATCCACATGAGAAAATCTAAGGTCCGTTCTGGCAATTTTCGTACCATTTTGGAGTGAGGGTAAAATTTCAATGAATTTCTAGGATTATGTCACACTGAGCCGCTGGAAAAGCGTAAAATCAAAGAAAACTCAATGAAAATGACATTCCAAAGCTAACTTGATAAAACTAAAGTTTTTCCCATTTACCTTGTTAAAAAATGGAACATTTTTGTCATAAAATCAAGCCTAGTACTTTAAATCGGCTCTCCCAATCGAAAACAGCCAGGAAAAGTGGAAAATTCGAGGAAAAACTGGATAAAAACGTAAACACGTCAATTAAAAATGGCTGATTGTCAAAAATAGCAAATGATATTTATTACAAGGCCTCCTTGGTTGAAGTTAGCTACAAGCGGTGTTGCCGTATCAAAAGCATTTTAAATAGGATTTTGCTAATAATGGTATTTAAAACTGGAAATTTTTGCTAAAAAATGAAGAAAACTCAAAGCCTCGTATGTAAAATCGCTTTTTTCCATTAAAAATCCCCGGAGAAGTAAAAAATTAGAGAAAAAACTGGCAAAAAATCACAAGACGTCACTTCAAAATGGCCGACTAAAAACAACGTTGCCACATCACATTTCGGAAAACAAAAATAATATTTTAAATGGGTTTTTTGTTTAAAATTCAATTTGATAATTAATTAATAATGATTATAATAATTAAAATTCCACAAGTAAGACACCGAAAACTTGTTTTTAGTTTAATTTCAATGAAAATTACATTACAAGGTATATCTATTGATTATAGTGTATAAGACAAAGGCAACGATAAAGTAGTATATGTTTGCAAAAAAAATCCTAAGAAAACCCAATAGAAAACCAACATTCCAAAGTCAATTTGATAAAACTAAAGTTTTTGAATATTCCCGGCTCTTTGATTAGACGCTAAAAGTCGCATTTTGAATATTCTCGGTTTTTGATCCGCTGACCAATAGAATTATAGACTGGGCCCCGTGATTAAAATAACCCTGGCCCTTCGGGCTCGCGTATAACTCCGGCCTTTCGGGCTCACGTATAACTCCGGCCCTCCGAGCTCATAATTAGAATAATCCCAGCCCTTCGGGCTGGAGATTTAGAAAAAACATATGGCAACACTGTTTATAACACAACAAACGTCAAAAAATTTGACGTTTCGAAGTAGGTCTAGTAATTATTTTTGACAATCGATACAAAATGGCGTCTTATTGTTTTCAGGATTACGAACCCGAAGGGCCGGAGTTATTTTAATTACGAGCCCGGAGGGCCGAGGTTAAGAACCTGCTAAAGAAAGATAATTAATTTAATTTGTTTTTATTGTTACGTTGGGTCCCCCTTAGGTGAAAATCGTAGATACGCCACTGGTCAGCGGATAATTTGGAGGTGGTGTCACTCCTTCATTTTTTCTCCATTTTATGTTGTCACCTTTCGATTTTAATTTTTTTTTCTTGTATGTTGTGGTATCACTCCTCGATTTTCATTTGTTTTCCTTTATTTTGTGGTTCACTCCTCGGAAAAAAAAATCCATTATTTTATGGTATCACTCCCACATCCAACTGTCAAATTCATTTCGATCAACAAAAGGGACACAAACTCACCGATTGACACCTTATTGTCAAAAATCATGACATTTTGACAGGTGTCAATATTTTACGACTTCATCATACATTTTGACAACTGTCGAAAATTCTCCAATTCAACAACCTTATTGTAGATTCAACTATCAAATTTTGATAACTGTCCGAAAATTTTCCAATTTCAGTCAACAAAAATGACAGGGTTTGAAGTTCACTTATTGACACTTTGTCGGAAATTGTGACATTTTGACAAGTGTCATTTTTTTTTCACGATCTCTTCGGACATCTGTCAAATTTTGACATCTATCGAACATTTTGCATTTTAATCAACAAAAACGATACAAGTTTGAAGCTCAATTGACATTTTAATGTCAAAAATCGTGACTTTTTTTTTAGAAAAAAAGCCTCATTGAAGATCCAAGTGTCAAATTTTGACAGCTGTTGAAAAATTTCTAACAAAAAAAACACAAATTTGAAGCACAATTAACATCCAATTGTCAAAATTCGTGACATTTTGACAGGAGTTTTTTTTTTTTTGAAAGACCTCATTGGAGATTTAATTTTCAAATTTTGACAGGTGTCGAAAATTTCCCAATTTTAATTAACAAAAATGACACAAATTTGAAGCTCAATTGACATTTTATTGTTGTTAAAAATCGTGACATTTTGACAGGTGTATTTTTTTTAACAACCTCATTGAAAATACAGCTGTCGAATTTTGACAATTGTCGAAAATTTTCCAATTTTAATCAACAAAAATGGAACAAATTTGAAGCTCGATAATTGACATATTATTCGCGAAATTTGACAGGTGTTTTTTTTTACCAACCTCATTGAAGATTTAACTCTTAAATTTTGACAGCTGTCGAAAATTTTCCAATTTCAATCAACAAATTTGACATCTTATTGTCGAAAATTGTGACATTTGACAGGTGTCCTCTTTTTTTTGAACAGCCTCATCGAAGATTCAACTGTCAAATTTTGACGTGCACATTGCACCTCGTGACTTGTATACAGTTATATAGGTCTAGAAACAGGTCTGTATACAGCTATACAGGTCTAGAGACAGGTATGTATGTTATCGAATATAATACCACAAGAGGCTTCAGTATTCACCTGTAACGAAACGCGTTACGCAGCAACACCACGACGAGTGGTGTTGCTGGTAACGCGGTACCACTCGAATTTGAGCGGTCGTTGGTTGCGGTTTGTTAAACCGGAGCCACGTGAAAAGGGCTTATGTGTCTCATTTTTGGTATTATTATACCAGATAACTGCGTACGGGAGAATATTGAATTGGTGTTCATCTGGATGTTCCGCTTTATGAACGCGGATCATCTCCATTAAAGTTGCATGGAATCTTTCCAGCGATCCGTTGGAATGTGGGTGGCTTACGCTTGAAAATGTCGATTTTATATTGTAGAGTTGACATTTTGGATTTTTGGGTGTGGGGAAGTGCTGAATGCGACTAATTTTTGCAGGGTTCGGTTTTACACCGTCTTGAGTGATAAGGTGTCCCAGGTCAGCTTCTTCTTTTCGAAGAAACTCACATTTGCATTATTGGTGTCAATAGGGTGTTTAATCTCACTAATAAATGTGAGCGTGTCACCTTCCTGATAGAAAATGTTCAGGCATAAATAAGTTGGAAATTAGTTCTTTTTCTTCGTTGTTCAAATGTTCTGTACGAAGATCATTTTGTACGGACATTTTCCTATCATAAGTATCGTCATATCCGACAAAACAGCCTAAAAATCCTTTTTTTTTGCTTCGTAATACAATTATTTGATTTTTTTACTCAGCTAGATTAAGCTAAATTTCTGTCAGGAGCCAAAGGTTATCAGTCGGTTTCCGAAAGAGTGTGATGACTCTGTGTCTTAAAACACGACTCTCGCCTCCTGGTTCCATGAACAAATCGCATGTTTTGCGACCGATAAGAATCCCAAAAGCGTCATCAAGCTGCCAATATAAATAGGCTTGTGAGCCTCCTAGATGCATTTAGTTCAGGAGCAGTCAATTACCCTGAACGCAGCAGCAGCTGACCAGTTAGTGCGACCGATGGAAGACAGGGGCACTGGAAAGGGGGTGGGGCATAATTCTAGAAATTCATTGAAACTGTACCCCCACTACAAATTGCCAGAAAAGACCTTAAATTTTCTTATGGAGATTTACATGGGAAAATGACTGATTTTGGGCTAGAACTCCCTTAGCACATTTACTGGAAAATTCAATATTCGTTTGCTCCAAAACGCTCAACAACAAAATAATCTTACCTTGAATAGGCTTGTGTTTTACAGGTACGGAAAAAAGAACCGCCTCATCCGATCAGGGTGGCGAAAACCATCGACGTCATAGCTAGGATAACTTTTCCCACTGCGTTCGCCGTTTTTCTCATTTTCTTCTTTTATCACTACAAGAGCTTCACTAACGCACACGAGGAATGAAAAAGTGAGATATAAGTGACTTGACATTAAAAGCACTCACAGTGGACTTGTTCAGTGTACTTATTTTTATTAAATCGGTAAAAATGATTTTTTGAAACGTTTCTGCAAAAAGTTCGCAATACGAGGTAGCTCTTGAAGCACTGTAAATATTATATATTTTTTTTCTATACATAATCACACGTGAACAATTTTATAAATATTATTCGTTTTAAGAAAAAATTGTAATTTTCAAATTCACCCAAGGCTTTCAAAAAAATTAGGACTTAATTAAGGACAAATGAATTTATCTTATAAGGACATAGTTGATTTTTTTGTTTCACTTTTCAGCTGTATTTGCATCAATACCGTAAATATAATAAAAGCTGTTCAGACGTTTTTTGAAGCAGAAATAATTTCTTATGAATTAACGCTTTAATCCATACAACGACCTATATAAATCTGGTTAAATTCTGCAATTTACCGCATACAAGTATAAGGTTTATTTTGAAGTAATGCTCCTGCCTCTTAGAGCTTGGAATTTTTTAAGAAGCAATATAAGTAGGTAGTTTCTGTAGCAGTCTGTGGTACGCGGCGTTGCCGGCTCAAGTTCTCTATGGTGCAGTTTCCATTAAATCCTGCGAATGCGAATAATTCAACTCATATAGTGGAATATCAAATGCCAATCGAATACTTACAAATTATGATTCGACACTTGTAAACCAAAACCAGAACATAAAATATAAGTTGGTGCAGAGGTGTAAAGCTCCTCGATCCCTGCCTTTCGGAATTATTTCTGAAATCACTTGCGTCTACAGCCTACATAGTTACTTTGAAAGGGTTCAAGCTGCAAACACAGTACATACCAATTTCATTAGGATTTTCTTCTTTAGTCTTAATTGAAACCTAACACTTTATATCTTAATGTTTACAGGCAAAACCCAAAAAATTGGACCATCCCTGTATTTTATTATTATAGGTATGTTCCAACAACAATACCAACAACAAAACATTGTGATTATTGTTTGGAACAAAGTAAACCATTTCTGTGATTATAGATGATATATATTTATTGTTTAAATCATATTATAGTTTATTCATTGTTGATTTTGTACCTGAAATAACTTTTTTTGTTAATTATCCAAATTATGTTATGATAGTTTTTGAATTTCGGTGACAAGATATATTATAATATAACGTTAAATTAAATTGCATTCCAACTAAAAATAATATGGAGAGGCACTCAAAAAGCAATTGTACATAATTATTAGATTGAGTATTGGAATAATTTCAAAATAATGTAAATACGGCCCTTATTGAAATTGTCCCTAGACTTTAGATTTCGTTTTGAATACTCACAAATCCCAAAAAAAAAGCAATTGTCGTATTAAAATCTGTAGCATATTTGCCTCGAGCACGTATAGAGCAAAACCTGTGATGATGACTGATGAGCGCTGTTTACGCTGCTTATTTGAACCAATTTAACAGTAGATTGCGTAAATAATGTTTAAAATATATTAGTAAAATAAGTCGATCAGGTTTAGTTTATCAATATTTTGGCATCAAATTTCCTTAAAAAAAATATATTTGAAATGAACCAATAATAATTCATATTTTATTAAAGAAACTGCAAGAGAGATGTTCATATGGAAACATTTAATAATAAGAGCTATAGTCTTTAGAAATAATATGAGGATTTTTTGCAGTTTTTTTTTTCATTTTTCTACACCATCATTTAACCATGCAGCACGAGCTCCACAGCTTGAAATTATTCTAGAAAATCTTTTGAGATGGATATTAGGAGTTGTTCATCTTATTTAGCATTTGCATTAACTCAAATTGATTACGATGATTCTTTTTAACTTTGGTAAACACAATCTAGCCGTCCTTGAATTACAAATTATGTACCTACTTCTATTAAATCTTTTGCCTCTGCCTGTGATACAACCTAATTGATTTGTGCGATAAGCTTTAATAAATCCCTCAAACAATTATTCTAAAAATTTTGCCTTACACATCTTATAATACTTAAGTCTTTTTCTTGAAATTTGATGCCAAAAAACATATATTAAAACGAATTTACTAACATTATTTGTTGTAATAAGTGCAAAGTTACCTTAAAATAACTATTATCATTATTGTTAACTTCAAAGCAAAATGTGATATCACATTTTGTATTAGAAAGGTTTTTCGTACAATTAATTGTATATAAATTTGCACGTCACAATCAAATAATGATAAAATATGCACCAACGCAAAAAAAAAAATATGCCCGAGTTTATTTTATGTATATAATAAAATCATATTCCGGAAAATATTGTCAAAACAAAAATGCAGCTTTAAACTCATCTATAGTACATAATATACTTGTAATGTGATTAAATTTGTGAGATTTATTATAAATTTCGTTTTGCATCGTAGAGTCTACACTCTTATTAAAAGAAAAAAGATGTATATATTTATATTGCACACATTAAAATGATATTTTATCGAACACATATTAATTATTATGATAAAAGTAATCTTGTCATTCGACGTTAAAAATTTTGAATCAAAATATTTTTAAAAACTATTTTGTCTGTGTTTTATTCCATTATTTCAGGAACTAAGGTATCCCAAATAATTTTTTTGCAGTCTTTGCTAATTGAATTTAGTAATAGGTGGGTACTTGTGGAAAGCGATTAGGTACTTGAGGTAAGTATATGATGATGTTGAAGAAAAATTGAATTAAGAAAGAATTTACTGAAAGTTGTACATAAACATCCTTCTTAGGGAAGTTATATTATAAAACCCTATGTTATTATTCTATAAATAATTCTCCTGTTCAATGTTAAATATAAGTGTTGGAGCGGTTATAAGACTGCGGAAATTACTTTATGGTGTTTTCATCAATTAGTAGCAGCTAGGTTATCACATATTATCACAGAAGAGAGCGTCGTCTCCCATCTCAAGTGCTCTGTAGCACTTTGACTTTTGACGTTGCAGTGTTGCCGAATAGCTATTAATATTATAGCCAGTTTACAGGACCCTGCAATAAGCATACGCCACTGTAAAATCCCACATCCCACATATTATAAAGCTGCTGAGTAAAGGATAATCAGCCAGGAAAAGTACCGTCATATTAATGTTTCGCCCGAACAAATGCAAGCATCAGCAGTATTTTAATATAAATACGGCGCGCGGAGCATTTTAGCTCATTCTCTTGTTTTCAGCTTAGACTATAGCAATAAGAATCAAAGATTCTTTTGTTTTCAGCTTTTGCCACAGCAATTTAGAGTCTAGTATTTTTTGTTGTAACTTCTTAGTTTCTAATGAAATAACCAAAGAGCAAGTAGAAAGGGATTTCAAAGAAAATGAAAATTAGTTTTCAAAATATAATACTATATTTTATTTATCTTATGAAAGCTAAGCATTATATTAACATATTTTATATAAATGTTTGACACTATATGATCACAATAAGTAACAAACCTTAGGCTTCTTTTAGACACAAATATTTTTAAGTCTTAACGTTTATTATAAAATTTATTCTGAAATGACACAAATTGCCAAATCAGACACCAATAGGTAACTATTTATTTATTTATAATATAATACTCTTCATTTTTATATAACAAGCTGGGTAAATATTTTCCAGCTTCAATTCCATTAACATTTTATCAGGTATTATAACTGTATTAAAAAACATGGATACAGGGTTCAAAAAATACTTGTTTTTGGAAATTTGTTACAGGACTAGGAAATATTATATTTATATAGTGAAGTGAACCTGGAAAGTTTAAAAAAAAAAAAAATATTCTTCAAAAATTAATGCCAGCACAAAAATACCCTGTAATATAACTAAAATCAAGCCCTTTAGAATTCTCTACAAACATTGAAAATTTGAACTTTTTATAGGAGCTCCCTATACAAAGTTACAAAATTTCAAAGTAAACTGAAATGTTCTATAAAACATCCCAAATAAGATAATTTTTGAAGGGTAAACTTTTTTAAATTTTGGTCATAAACAGTTTAAAACCTAATTTCACTTCATTAACAATACAAAATTATAATATGGAATGAGTGTGCGCAACTTGAGGCCATATGAGTATATTATTTCCTTCCAAAATAATACTGTTCAACAAAGGCATTTTTGAGCAGATCCTGAAGCATTAAAATCCACCCTTATAGGATCCTTAGAGTTGCCTTTACGATTAGGCAGCATGGCCATGTCAACAGCGGTCTCCATCCTGAACATTACTTTGTCCAGCAATGTTTCAATTGATCTTGAAACGTTTTGACCAGTGGCAGCGGATGTTTCTAAATATGGAAGACTATATGACACGAAGGATTTAAGATATTTCTTAAATTAATTAACTTACTTGTTTAGTTCAGCAAATTCTCTTGCTCGCCATTCAGTAACGACACGTCTATCTTCTATGTCAGCCTTATTTCCGCATAGGACTATGTCTGGTGAATCACAATAGGCATGAACCTATATAGGCAGAAAAATTTGATATTAGGTACACAAAAATTATAAATAATAATATTTCACAAAAAAAGCAGTGGTGAAAAAACAGCAAAATAATAAGTGCAACCAAAAAAAAAAAACTTTTGCTGATTTGTGTTATTGTCATACCCTGAGTTGTTCGATCCAATTACGAATCTCAAGAAACGATTGCTCGTTAGTCAAATCAAAGATAAGTAAAAAACCCATCGCGTCTCTATAAAATGCTGTTGTAAGGCTGCGGAACCTAATTATAAAAATTTGTAGTTTTGTACCTTGAAAATGTGCAAAGCAAAATTACCTTTCTTGTCCTGCTGTGTCCCACAACTGGAGATGGACTCTGTAATTGCGACCCTTTGACTGGTACACCTATAAAGAAAATAATTGAATGAATATATTTATTTATTTATTTAATGACGGGAAGCCCCATAATAGCATACAGAACATCTATATACAATAATTAGACGTTTAGACAACAATCACTAAATATCGCATTAACAATTAATTAGGTACAGGATCTTTGTTTAAGGAGTTAAGCTCTCTTTTGAAGTCTTCACGAGTACTAAAAAAGTCCAGGGTATTGAACTCATTGGAGATTCGGGAAGCTCTGGAGATACTTAAAAGTGTTCGAGCCGAGCCATATAGTTAGTCCGGTGGATCTTTTCTGAAAAGGTAGTGGAAGAGCATGTGGTTCTTCCTGGGGCATGAAGTCCAATTTTGGATAGTAGGTAAATGGAAGCGTTGTGAGAGTTCAGTATTTTGAGGAATGTTAATAAATCCCTTTGATTTCGTCTGGCGGCTAAGGATTGCAGGTTGAAGCGTCGGTAGAGGTCATCATAGTTGTAGATATAATTTTCTGAAGGAATACCTGCCTTGAAGGCCAAGTACCGTACATATTTACGCTGCATCTGCTTCAGGGCGTTAATGTAGACAGAATACATAAGTGACCAAACCGAGGAGCAGTACTCCAGGATGGGCCTTATCATTGTACAGTAGAGAAGCTTGATGGAAAAGATGTTAGTGAAGTCCCTTGTACACCTTTTAACAAAGCCCAGCAGCTTCAGAGACCTGGTAGCGATATCCGAAATGTGGTTGGAGAAGCTCAACGAGTTATCAAAAATGACACCGAGATCACGTTGTTGGGACATTGTTTCAAGTGGTTCATTGCTTATGTGGTAAGCAAATTGCATGGGGCTTTGACTTTTGGAGAGAACGATAGTTTTACATTTAGATGCATTGAGTTCCATGCCACTTGTGACACACCATTCGGAAAGTTTATCCAAGTCAGATTGTTGCCAGGCGCAGTCTACGTGGGAGGAAACTCAGGCGAATTTCTTTAAGTCATCGGCAAAACACAGAAACTCACTATTAATAAAACAAGAACCAATATCGTTGATGAAAATATTGAATAGCAGGGGTTCCAGGTGAGATCCTTGTGGTACCCCTGAGGGGATGTCAATGCGCTGTGAGCAGAAGTTGATGATCTTGACGGTTTGGATTCTGTTCCTAGATAGTCGCTCATCCACGCAAGCAGAGTACCAGAAATTCCAATTCTCTCCAGCCTCCCAAGTAGGATGTTGTGGTTGACACGGTCGAAAGCAAAATCAGGAGATTTTATCCGGGTACGTCTGGAGGTTAGTTTCGGTTGAGTACTTTGGCCGGAAACCTGCTTGCTGTTCCATTAGGCAAGGGTTGATGAAAGGAGGAGTTAAGAATTTAGTTACTACATTCTCAAAGACCTTAGGCATAGTGTTAAGGATACTGATGGGCCTATATTTGGTAATATTCATTTTGTTACCAGTCTTATGGATGGACGTGATGAAACTCCGCTTCCAAATCTCAGGAAATACCCCACTACTAAGCGATTCATTGAACAAAATAAACAAAGGACGAGATAGTATAAAGCTACACCTACTGAGCATCAGAGGGGGGATGCCATCTGGGTCAGGTCCACGAAAGATCCGTAGCTTACACAGTTCCTCGTAAATAACTGAGATGGAGATTCCAAAATCATGAATGTGAGTGTTACTATCGGAAATGCTTTGGCCAATTACACATGCTTTGTTTCAGAATACAGAATGAAAGTACGTACCAAAGAGATTAGCTAGTTCAGGTCCAGTTTTCGCGAATTTACCGTCATAGAACATGTAAGAAGGGAGTCCATAAGTCTGTTGTCTAGCATTGACAAAGTTCCAGAAATGTTTTAAATTTTTATCCCTAAGCAATGACCCCTCTGAGCATACAACATAATTTGTATAGCAGTCTTTGGAAAGAGTCTTACACTGAGCCCGAAGGTGTGAAAATTCAACATAGTCAGCAGGGGAACCCGTCTGCTTCCAAGCTCTGTGGGCACTTTTCTTCTTAATTATTAGGTCCTTTAGCTCAGGGGAGAACCATCATGGAAACTTGTGGCTTGAGAGCTTCTTCTTTGGTACACAACAATCGATAGCCGTATAGAGAACGTCATAGAAAATCCTGGTCATTTCCCTTACATCGAGACCCCAGAGTAAGTCATCCCAGCCCCAAGGTTATCATTGAGGAATGTGTAATCAGCAGACCCAGAATCATAATAGTACGTGTCCGACTGGCGGATGTCAGCATTGCAGTGAAGTGACCTGTTGAGGTGGCAAAAAGTAAAGCAGGATGATATGCATCAATGGGTAGAATAATGTCATTAGCTAAGAGGCAAGTATCCTCGGGGTCCTGGGTAAAAACCAGATCAAGTAGAGTGCCATGAGCATTAGAGAATGCATTTATCTGGAACAGGTTGTCGTAAGCGCTCATATTGGATAAACATTCGGTGGCTTTACGCTCTGAGGTTAAGGAAGACTGAGCAGCAACAGCTGCAGAACTGAGACTGTCACTTACCCATTGTGCCTTGGGTAAGTTGAAGTCACCAAAAATGTAAAGCTTGTAATCAGGGAATGTATCCGACAAAGCTTCCATTGAGTTCGAAAAAAATCTGTAATCCTCGCTATTGGATCTAGGTGGTAGGTAAACTGCACCAAGCAATAATTTTGTATTCCCCGAGTGCACCCTGACGAATAACTGTTCAATAGTCCTGGGTGAGTCGCAGATTGAGCTAAAAATACCGTTTTGAATTGCCACCTATACACCTCCCCCTCTAGTGGCAGTGCTGGAGCAAGTTGAACGATCACAGCAAAAGACGTTATAGTTCTCCATGCCCAGTTCAGCATCATAAAAGTCCCAAGTCAGCCAAGTTTCCGTAAAAAGCAGAACTTGGTATGAAACCAGGGGAATAGAACTAGCCACTGTATTTAATTTGGTACGTAAATCGCGCACATTCTGGTAGTAGACTGTTATAAAACTATTCAGATTTTTTAAAACTCCTGATTGTCGGCTAGGTCCCGGAAATCCTAGGCCCCATCGTGTCTGGTTATATTGGATTTCCTCGGTGTGATTTTTTAGCATTATGTTTATTTTGTCCAAGGAACCATCAATGGACTAAACATTTTGGTGAATAATGCTCGATAGATTTAGACTTTTCATAAAAAAGCCTCAGGTGCTGCTTTATTGGGTTTCTGGTTTACTTGATTGGGTTCGATATAGTTAGTATGCTGACGGAGTCTTTCAATACGTCGCAAGTAAGCTGGGCAGAAAGAACCTCGAGCTGAATGATTATTTTGTGGCAATCCCAGTTTTTGCAGTTAGCGCAGTTCATATTCTCTAGTACAGTTTCTTGCGTCGTGGGACTCTTCAAATTTGAAACAACAGTCTTTCCCATTGCAATATTCAGCTACATGGCCAAAAGCGCAGCATTTAAAACACATAGCGACATTAATATACCTACTCCTGTGTATAAACTTTCATCAGGTGGAAGAACAAGTGATCATTTCTTATGAGCCATTTGAAAATGTCTGGTTTCGTCTGAATTATCCAGTTTTCCTTTTGCTTGTTGCGACATTATCTCTTTATTATTATCTTAATTTGCGATTTTACATCTTGCCCAAAAGTCTCTGTCAGGCCTATATTTTCTGCTATAAGTTCATTCAGGAATTCTTCAGGTGTAAATCCCTTTAATATCCCATTAATATAAAGCTCATTTTATAGACTCCAATTATGGATTTGTTAAAACTAGATTTGCAAATAAACTTTGACCAGAAAACCTACAGTATTACCAATAAGAACTTTCAAGCAATAGAAGTCATAAGAGATTTATAGAGACTAAAGCAGAGCTGGCACAAGTACCGTGCGTTCAATTTATCTTGATAACATTTTCATTCGCTGTAACTTTTTTGTTTTTGAAGGTATCAAGGTAAACAAAAAAACAAAATGTAGGGTTAGTAGCCAAGTTTTTTTTTCAAGTTACCTATAAAACAAAACACTATCAATTTTCTGACATATGAGCCAACATTATATTTTATTAAATGGAACACCCTGTATATTATATATGTGTTTGATAGAATATCATATTCCGATTACAATGATATAACACACTCCATATTTTAGTCCACTCGTTTTTGACAAATCGGCAAAAATATATGAACTTTTGAAGTGAAACTTATTAGGCGGCGATCTGATATTTGGGGAGAGAATCATTGATAGTGCATATAAAAATTTCATATTTTTGCCGATTTGTCAAAAACGAGTGGACTAAAATATAAAGTGTGTTATATCATTGTAATCGAAATAAGATATTCTATCAAACGCATATATAATATACAGGGTGTTCGATTTAAAAAAATACAACGTTGGCTCATATGTCAGAAAATTGATAGTGTTTTGTTTTATAGGTAACTTGAAAAAAGACTTGGCTACTAACCCTACATTTTGTTTTTTTGTTTACCTTGATACCTTCAAAAACAAAAAAGTTACAGCGAATTAAAATGTTATCAAGATAAATTGAATGCACGGTACATTACGAAAGTACTTGAAGTACAAATATGAAGTAAATATAAGATATCTTAATAGATTTACTTGAAGTACAAGTTTTTTTAACTAAAACTTTGATTATCAGGTAAACTTGAATTTTACTTGAATTTTATGAAGTTATTTACTTCAAGTAAAAGCATTGAGCTTCATGTAAAGTGGCATCAGGTACCTAGTTAAAGAATATTTTAGCACTTGAAGTATGTGAAATACTTAAAGTACTTGAAGCAGTATTTCAAGTAATTTACTTCAAATATTGGCAGCTCTGGACTAAAGGTTGAAAATCTAGACTGAAAAAATGAGCCAAGCACTAAAGTTGGAGCAGAGTTTAAAGGTTTGAACAGACTATAATAGACTTATCTGTAACAGTGGAAATATAATCACACCAATGGAAGAAAAAAAACCGGACAAGTTGAGTGGAATGCTTGTTTCATGAATTAAATCTTTGACTAAATGATAGGATGATGTGAATGTGACAAAATTAAAATGTGGTGCTTTTTGGGTACCTACGATGGAAGAAATAATATTAAGCAAACCTAAAGGAATGCAGTTTAATAAATGAACACTGAATTCACTTGTAACAAAAAGTTAGTCAAGTTCAAGTCAAGATAATCAGTGAATTTACATTTACTGAATTGTTATCCCTATGGTGTAATTAGTTGGAATAAGTTTTTCTAAAATCCTCAATAATTCTCAACATTGCAAATCTAGTTATTTTTGAAATAAAATTCAGTGTCCTACTTTCATGACTCACCAATCGTTTTTCACGAAAATCAATACCAACTGTTGATATGAACCTTGAATTAAATGTCCCATCTGTGTACTGGTATAAAAAGCTAGTTTTCCCAACTCCAGAGTCTCCCAACGCCAGAAACTTAATTAAATAATCATAATCCATCCTGGAAAATGTTTAAAATTTAATCTTCAGCTAACAATCTGCTAGAAAACTTACTTGGATTGGAAAATCCTGTGTAATAACTATTGATTAATAAGAGAAAAATATATGTTAGAAAGTTTATTTGATTATAAACAATTTGAAAGAAACGTATACATAGTTTTTATAAACATTTGCTTTGGAAAAATTTAAACAAAACCACCTGTCAGATTGGTGTTTTGAATTTTGCTTACTGCTTGTGTCGACGAGGCTGTTCGTTATCGCAAAACCATACCCGACTGTCAGAAAATCAATGAATGGAAAGTTCTTTCGGGGCTTTCATTTGCTATTGCTCCGAATTTAGTTTTGGAACAGCAACCTGCTCCGAGCTTTAAGTTTCCTTTCAGCAAAAATGTAATGATTTTTTTTTTTGAATCTAACAAAAATTTCATAAGAACAAAGTTACTATACACAAAACTGTCCTAGAGTAAGGCAAACCCACTACTGCAACTTTGCAGAAATTTCTAGGTACAAAGACCAATCTCTATGAAATTTGAATAACCACTGGCAATAAAACACAAATTTAATGAAGACTTGAATTTATTTAGGAAATTCTGAAGTTAAGTAATGAAAAAAACAATTGAAAACAAAATATTATAAAAAAAAGGAACTGTAACAAAAACTATTCATAAATTACTCAATCAAAATTGGGACTGTTTGGAATAAAAAATAAAACATTTTTTTCTATTAAATTGGAATGAATCATTTAAAAAGCAATTTAATCGACTTCTTCGATGGTTGGTCCAGCACCTCCGGCGTCAGGAGCAGCTCCACCTGGAGCGGCACCTGCACCACCTGGGAATCCACCGGGCATACCGCCTGGTGCACCGCCAGCTCCCTGGTACAATTTAGTAATGATTGGATTGCAAATGCCTTCCAATTCCTTCTGTTTGTGTTCGTACTCTTCTTTGTCGGCCAATTGGTTGGCGTCCAACCAGGCGATGACTTCATTGCATTTGTCCAAAATAGTTTGTTTCTCACTCTCGCTGATCTTGTCCTTGATCTTGTCATCTTCGGCAGTGCTCTTGATGTTGAAGCAGTAAGATTCGAGTGCGTTCTTGGCGGAAATGGTGTTCCTTTGTTTTTCATCTTCGCTTCTGTATTTTTCAGCTTCATTGACCATTCTTTCAATGTCTTCCTTGCTAAGACGACCCTTGTCGTTGGTGATGGTGATTTTGTTTTCTTTGTTGGTGGTTTTCTCAATGGCAGTTACGTTTAAGATACCGTTAGCGTCGATATCGAAGGTGACTTCAATTTGGGGTACTCCACGTGGTGCTGGTGGGATACCGGTAAGTTCGAATTTACCCAAAAGGTTGTTGTCACGGGTCATAGCACGTTCACCTTCATATACCTAGAACAAAGAAAATAATAGTTAATTTTCAAATTTTTCTCATTGTTAACAAAACTTAATTGCTTAGTGGCTTCAGATAAAAATAAAATCACAATGTAGCTCATAAACTCCAGTCTGGCATGACATAATTATAATATCATCATTGGAAATAAATTTGAAAAAAAAATAAATATATTTGAAACAACTTACTTGAATAAGTACTCCAGGTTGGTTGTCAGAGTAGGTGGTAAATGTTTGAGTTTGCTTGGTGGGAATGGTAGTGTTTCTCTTAATAAGAGCAGTCATGACACCACCAGCAGTTTCAATACCCAAAGACAAAGGAGTAACATCGAGCAAAAGCAAATCTTGTACTTCTTCAGATTTGTCTCCGTGCAAAATGGCGGCCTGTACAGCAGCACCATAAGCAACAGCCTCATCAGGATTGATGGATTTGTTTAATTCCTTGCCATTGAAGAAATCTTGGAGCAACTTCTGTACTTTGGGGATTCGGGTTGATCCACCAACCAAGACAATGTCGTGGACTTGAGCTTTGTCCATTTTAGCATCGCGGATGGCCTTTTCGACTGGTTCCATGGTGGAGCGGAACAAATCGGCGTTTAGTTCTTCAAAACGGGCACGGGTGATTGAAGTGTAGAAATCGATACCTTCAAACAAGGAGTCGATTTCAATACTGGCTTGGGTGGAGGAGGAAAGGGTTCTCTTCGCTCTTTCACAAGCGGTCCTTAACCGTCTCAGAGCCCTTTTGTTTGAGGTGAGGTCTTTTTTGTATTTGCGTTTGAATTCCTGGACAAAGTGGTTCACCATTCTATTGTCGAAGTCTTCACCTCCCAAGTGAGTGTCACCAGCGGTGGACTTGACTTCAAAGATACCATCTTCGATGGTCAAGATTGATACATCAAAAGTACCACCACCCAAGTCAAAGATTAATACGTTGCGTTCTCCATGCCCTAGAAAAAACAACAAAAAACAATTAAAAATCATACAAATCTCACAATTAAATAATTCATTAATTAAAAAAAACTTCAGATAAATAAATAATCACAGTTGTAGCTCATAAACTCCAGTCTGGCATGACATTATAATAAGATCATCATATTAGCAATATATTTGTTTTTAAATGTTTATTTGAAGGGAATTCTTACCTTTTTTGTCAAGACCATACGCGATGGCTGCAGCAGTAGGTTCGTTGATAATTCTGAGTACTTGGAGACCAGCAATGGTACCTGAATCTTTTGTAGCTTGACGTTGTGAGTCATTGAAATAAGCTGGAACTGTGATAACAGCATTGCTGACTGATTTGCCTAAGTAAGCTTCAGCAGTTTCCTTCATTTTAGTAAGTACCATTGAACTGATTTCTTCAGGGAAGAAAGTTTTTGATTCTCCTTTGTAATCTACTTTAATTTTAGGTTTTGTGTTGTCATTTACTACTTCGAATGGCCAATGTTTCATGTCAGCTTGTACTGTGGTATCGTCGAAACGTCTACCAATAAGACGTTTGGCATCAAAGATGGTGTTGTTTGGGTTCATGGCTACTTGGTTCTTGGCGGCGTCTCCAATGAGACGTTCTGTGTCTGTGAAAGCGACATAGGACGGTGTGGTCCTGTTGCCTTGGTCGTTGGCGATGATTTCGACTTTGCCATGTTGGAAGACTCCCACACAAGAATAGGTGGTTCCCAGATCGATACCTACGGCTGGTGCTTTGGCTGCCATTTTTTCTGGAAAAAAAATATGAAGTTTTGGTCAAATGAATAAGGAAAAATAAGTCACAGATATATTAATTTTTGGCTTTTAATTTGAATTTTTAAACTATGCAAACAGGGTCCAATTGGGGAAGACATCTGTCACCTGGGTACATTTGAATGTTAAAAAATCCAAGGTTATATCCTTCATTATAAGGTCTATTCTCACAGGGACCTCTGACAGTTTGCAAACTGTCAAGAGATTCTTGTGAGAACAGACCTATAATATACCCATATGTATTGATTGGAAGAAAGCTAGAGAAAGTAAAATCTTCGAAATACTTAGGAGTAACTTTGCAGGATCTTACTTCCAATCTTCATATTGAAAATATTTGCAATAGAGCCTTAACCTTCTTGAGTTTGTAGTACCAAATTTGAAATTTGTTTATTTTTCTCTATTAATACCTGCAGAGGGTGTCCCGTCGGAAACCAAATCGATCTATACAGGGTGAGTTACTTAGCACGCAGTCGTCCATATCTCCTATACTAACGGAGATGGAAGAAAAAACTAAATACAAAACTTTTAGATAAATATGAGTACTGCATTCCTAAATTATTTTCCAGTATACAGGGTGTCCCAATAAAGAGTGGTGATACAAAGTTATGTTTCTTCAAATGACTCTCCCTGTATATTATGACATTTCCGGATTCTATGGAAAATTCTAGACATATTTCATGTACAATGTCATATACCTATCTTCAACTATTTCAGAAATATTGACAGTTGGAAATTGACTTTTTTGCATCTTTGACAGACTGTAGAACCTGAACGGTTGATTTTACAGAACAACCGATTTCACATTCTTATTCTAGATTTTCTTAAGCTATCATTCAACACCAATTTTGAATTTAACCAAAGAATAATAATTTAATCGAAATTTTTAATCATGGATCAAATTCAAAGTTGGTGTCAAATAATAGTTTATGGAAAACTAAGACAAGAATGTATGATCGGTTTTGCTGTAAAATTAAGCGTTCAGCTTTTACAGTCTGTCAAAGATGCAAAAAAGTCAATTTTCAACTGTCAATATTTCTGAGGATTCTACGTAAAATTCTGAGCAGATTTGATGTAAAATACCCTTTACTTACCTAAGTTCAACTGTTTTGGAAATATTGACAGTTGAAAATTGACTTTTTGCAACTTTGACAGACTGTAAAACCCTATCTCAATGGTAAAACCTAAACGGTTAATTTTAGAGGAAAACCGATTTCACTTTCCCATCTTATCACTTTGAATTTAACGGGGGATTAAATTTAATTACAATTTTTAATCATGGATTAAATTCAAAGTTGATGTCAAATGATAGTTTATGAAAATCTAAGATAAAACCGTGGAATCGGTTTTCCTCTAAAATTAACCATTTAGGTTTTACAGCCCGTCAAAGTTGCAAAAAGTCAGCTTTCAACTGTCAATATTTCCACAACAGTTGAACTTAGATATAGGGTTATATCACATGAAATCTACTCAGAATTTTAGGTAGAATTCAAATATGCAATTACATACAGGATGTCTTATTCAAAATAAGCAAGTTGTCGTCTACTTTAGGTATAACCGGAAGTGCCACCATCTTGAAAATATTTTAGCCGGTTTGCCCACATTGACATTAGTATACTAGCAAATTTTCAAAAATTTTCTGCATACAGTTTTCCATATATGTCAAATTGACACCCTGCAATTTGAAAACTTTCAATGTGAATATCTCTGAAAGTAAGAAAGTTAGAAAAACGTAATGTGATACAAATATCAGTTAGGAAGAACTAGAACCACCATATTTTGGTAATGGGGTGAGTGACTCCTTGCGCCCCATGCACCCTATCCTAAAAATTTTGGATGGCACCACCCCTTTTGTGATACCTAAAATTAAATACTTTTGACTACAGTATTCACCTACACAAGATTTTTTTTTTTAAATATTTAATTTTAGGTATCACAAAAGGGGTGGTACCATTTAAAATATTGGAGTTGGGGTGCATATGTGGCCCAAGGGGTCATTAAAACCAAAATATGGAGGCTCTAATTCCCCCTACCTATATAACATTCATACCAAATTATGTATTTCTAACTTTTTTACATACACAGATATTCGCATTGACACTCTGTATAAATCGATTTGGTTCCTAGTGGGACTCCCTGTATAACTGACCCAAACTACCAGGTTCATGTTTTGCTGGAAAGAGTTCAAAGGCGGTTTCTTAAGCTGGGTTTTTTTCTAATTTCAAATTTCAACCTTGTAGTAAGATAATAATTGAAATCACATCTGAATTTTGCAAAGCTTGAAAATTTCTTTGTGCTTCTATAGAAAAACTTCAGAAACCTTAGATCCTGAACTCTGAACCTTTGCTATGCAAATCTCCTGAATCTTCTCTAAAGACTCAGAGACTCAGAATTCAGAATCTTGAATCATTACTTTGCAAGGTTCCTGGTTCTTCTACGAGAAGACTCTTGAGATCTTCAGATCCTGAATTTTGCAATGCTTTAAAATTTTTTTGTGCTTCTATAGAAAAACTTCAGAAAATTTAGATCCTGAACTCTGAGCCTGCAAATTTCCTGAATCTTCTCTAAAAGATTCCTCAGATTCTGAATCTTGAATCATTACTTTGCAAGGTTCCTGGTTCTTCTACGAGAAGACTCTTGAGATTTAAGAAATTATTAAGAAAATTGACGTAACACACGGAAAGGTTGAACCAACAACTTAGGGAAATTGTGCGTTAAGTGCACCAATCAAAACGCTTGAAAACGATAATTTCAATAATAATTATGAATGAAGTTTTTATGTTAATTATAATTTTCCGTATGTTGAGTCACATAGATGTAAATGATACTTGACATTTGAAACACTATAGGGTGAAGACAAACAAGAGCCAGTAATAATCAAATTTTGAGCTATTACCGGCTTTTGGGGGCTTCTAGAAACAATATCCAATGCCTCAAGAGCCAATAATAATTGAAATTTGGATCAAAAACAAGATTTGAACATTAGAAAATATTTCCTACAAATCAAAAGCCAGTAATAATCAAATTTTTATCTATTACTGGCCCTAGAGAGCCTCTAGAAATAGCATCCAACATCTCAAGAGCCGATAATAATTGAAAATTTGGATCAAAAGTAAGATATGAAACGCTAGAAAATATTTCTAACAAATCAAGAGCCAGTAATAATCAAATTTTGAATTATTACAGGCTCTTGAGAGCCTCAAACAAGATCCAAGACTTCAAGAGCTGATAATAATCAAAATTTGGATCAACAAAGACTTTAAATTTTTGTTTCTATGCAAAAACATGAGGCATTCAAAAATGTACAAAGCATATACTGTCAATACTTCCAATTGTCTGAAACATTTCTACAAGACTAGCTGAAGTCCATTTTCTTGACTATTCTAATCACTCTTTTTCGAGCTACAGAAAATTCTCGGATACCTTAAGATTCATACATTTGGATAATCAATAATCATAGTCGCAGTTTTCGTCTTGATCATACCAACAATTTTTAGAAGGCACAAGATCATTATCATTGTCATAAAATTAACTCCAACTTAACCTTTGTGGACTGGTATTTCTTGTGAATTTATACTAGGTATGGATTTTCTATTTCAAAGTATCAAAATTAAAGTTCTTAGAACTGTAGCAATGAACAATCAATGTCAATAAAAAAAAAGGGCAAAAAGGAGGAAAGTTAACCCCATCAACAAAAAAAGGGGCAAAGATGACACTTTATATAAAGATAGGTATGTGGAAGCGTACTCGTATTTCTTACTGAAAAATTCTTCAAATAAATACTCAAGAATAACCAAAGATTAATTAAAATATTAAAATTCTGAAAAGTATAGAGATACATGATCTCTGAAATGATTGTAGTAAAGTCAATTACAAATAGAAAGAGAAGATTGAAACCATGGATCACAGGGTGGTCTCTTGATATCCATTAGAACTAGAAATAAACTAAAAAAAGAATCTAAAACAAATCAGAATAATCAGGCAAATTTAAATAAGTATAAAACTTACAGAAAAATGCTAAATAAACTTATAAAAAATGCCAAGTATGTATATTACAAATAATTTGCTGAAAGAAACGCCAATGATCCAAAAAAAATGTTAAAAGTTATCAAAAAGGCTACCAACGACCAGAGATCTATAACGCCAATGAAATGCATAATGAATGACGCAAACGACGAGGTATCTGACATAAGAGAAATTGCAAGTGAATTTAACTCTTACTTTTGCAGCACAGGAAAAAACTTAGCAAAGCATATTGCAGAGGGCATTCAGAAGGGGTATGTGAGTGGAATAAGAAGTGTAGATTCTTTCTATTTGGGCCAGGTTACAGAGCATGATATTCTCAGGGAGATAGGAACTTTGAAAAATGAGGTAAAGGGAAAATATGGTATTTCTGCAGATATAATTAAAAGGTTTAAGGAAAAGTTGGTTGGCCCTCTGAAACACGTTATTAATATAATTTTCAGTGAAGGAGTTTTCCTAGAAGTCTTAACCCTCCGTCACTCGCGCCTCATTTTTTTACGCCATCGCTCGCGAGTTAGATTTTATCTGACATCCATTTCTTTGCAATAAAACTATTATTTTTCAAACAGAAGTTTGGTATATTAATTAAATTGATTTTTCATAATTTGAAGTGTTGTTTTAATAAAAACACTAAAATAAAAATTGAAAATCTATCAAAATTAACAAAATTTTAACATACGCCGTCACTCGCGTCGTTAGATTGTTTCTAACATTCACACGCTCGCGTGTTAGATTTGCACTAACAATATGTCATTTTGGCACAAAAACAGAAAAATCGCCCCAGTCGACTATACATGCGTGTAGTAGGTTGGGTCATAGAAGCATTCCTGAATACACGGCAAAAATAATAAAAAATTGTAGAAATTATGACAAATTTTTAAAAAAATGTTAAGATTTTTTCTAACGGTGCGAGCGATGGAAGGTTAAAGTGCACCATTATAATACCAATGTACAAAGGAGATAAAAACTCAGCTAACAATTATAGATCAATAACAGTTGAATCTATTATTAATTATGGGTTGGCTGTTTGGGGTAATGTAGGCTCAACAATACTGTCAAAACTAGGTGTGGTTCATAGGTGGATAATCAAAATCATCCTTTTCAAAAAGAATAGATACCCAAGTGACATTGTTCATAAAGAAAGTAGTTTACTGACCATAGACCAAATGTAACTGGGACAGCATCATATTAGCTCTTGTATTATTATATGATTTTAGATGTCAGGTATATGTCAAACTATGAATAATTTTAGGTTTATCTAGGTTAAGTTGGAATAGTCCAGGAGATTAATATGGATTATTTTTGTCCCAGTTACTTTTGGTGACGATGGTACCTATATTTAATCTGTGGTAAGGTTCATGTGTAGCTGATGTTGAGCTGCAGAACCCAAAACATACAACCTGTCAAAACCATATATACTGTGTTGGCCCGAAGGTATGTGGTGACAGATTCTGCTCTTCACCCTAAGGTCTGTTCCTCAGTCTGTTCTAACAGAAATCACAAACCAGTCAGAGCGTTTTTGATTGGTGCAAACTGCAAATTAACTGTTTTCTAACTATTTTCAACCAATGAAATACTCTTTTGACTGGTTTGTGATTTCTGTGAGAGCAGAGTTTTGATCACAAAAGTAAGGTCAGGAAATTCAAGGCTTACCAAGCTATGCCTATGATTATGATTGAGATTTATGAATAAAGGGTTTTTTTAATGATTATGACCCACCATTGGGGCTAGATTATGATTGGTAAGAAAATATGACAAACACATTTTCTTAAAAAATTAATCGTCATTTCCGACCACCAATTTAATTATTGCTTGACCTTTAAACCATAAGTACTGAGGTGAACATTGGCCTTGTACAATTTCCTAAAAACCCGCTTATGGGTAACAAATCTATAAACTCAAAATAAACCATGGAAGTTTGACTTGTCTTGTAAAAGGATTTTAGTGAGTAAATTGACCGCTGACCTTATTTCAAGGCGAATAAAATCAATTTTTTATACGAAAATGGAAAAAGCTGCTCGCTGCTAGGATGCGGCAATTAAATTGAAAATTAATTATTCAGAAACCGCCCATTATATTGCAATACGTGAACAAAGGCTTTCATCAAGGAACAAAGAATATTCTGGAATTATGATTAGGAAAAAAATTAATAAGCGTGGCGTGGTAGAGGCGTCATCCATAACCTTGAATACTGTGTGGAAAAAAACGTGAAATAAATTATACCTTTAAAATTCTAAATCTTCGCTACTATAGGCCCCAATTTCTGGATGTTTTACACTGCAGATAAAAATGTACAAAAGAATCGATTTCTTTGTGACCCTGGCACGTGTACAACTTCGGACATCAAATAAATGAATAAAATGTCAGAAAAGAACTACCATAAATTAATCAACAAATTCTTACCTGTATTTCTTTGTTATAAATAATTTAAAACTTGGTTGCAGACTAAAAAACTTTTTTTTGGAGAAAAACTTAAATTAATTTACGAGATGTTACCTACAGCAAGTACAACGTTCAAATCAGGAAGAGTTTTTACAAATGGCGGTATTTATATGGGTGCCGAAAAATGCCTTCCAGAAAATTCGACTTGTCGGCCAATCAACGCTCGAAAAATGACGAAAATTCCGGAAGAAGGAATAGCGTAATTTATCCATCCTTGTCGTTTATATGTATTTAGACAAAGAGACTATTATAATTTCAGCTGTGCAGTGTTGCATTCGATTGTCGTGAAGGTGTGTCTTAACAACTATGTTCGAACAGCACTAGCTGCACTACTAGTCTGTTCTAGACCCTTTCAAAAAATAGTGAACGTGAACCTGAATCAGCCCGAATATAAATTATTGTTCTTTGAATTGCCCGTTTTGATTCTCTCGTATTTATGTGATGAACACTGAACAGACAAAAATTGAAAAGGCAGGTAAAGTCAATGGTTGTATTCCTTTCAATAGTTTAGTTTAGAACACTAGAGCAACTCGCGTCGGTGTTAGTCGACCCCGATTTAAAAGGAACAGATGTGCCAAGGATAATAATACACACTACAAGCCTCGTTTTTGGTAATAGAGAGTTCTCGTGCCTCAGACGCTACGCTAATATGGTACCGCGAACAATACGGTATTTTACATGGTATTTTATAGTTCTCGGACACGAAGACACAAAAATCCTCTTATCCCTTATTCTGTTTACGTTTTGACAGCTGAGTTGAGTGATCTAACCCCTTTTTTTTGCTTGTTTTCTAACTTATTAGGTCTGTTTCTGCAGAAATCACAAACCAGTCAGAGTGAATTTCATTGGTTGAAATTAGTTTTCTGACTGTTTCTGACTGTTTTCAACCAATGAAATTCGCTCTGACTGGTTTGTGATTTCTGCAGAAACAGACCTATTATTTATCCTAAAGATTCTAAGTTTGATTAATTTTCACTTGGTGCTTTTTATGGTCTTTATGGAAGAATAATTAAAAGTAAATAACTGTTCTTGCAGATGTAAATGGAGCGGAAACTAATTTTGACATAAAATAGCGTTACGGTAGCCATCCGCTAAGTCCCGTTAGATAGCGGGCTCCGTTAACGCTAATACCGTGAGAACTGTCATACCTGTCAAATAGCGTTACAGGATTTGAAATTTGGACTGCACGAGAACTCTCTCATCACTGCTATATTGGCCGCTTTCCAGCTGTGCTTCAAGCACAGTGCAGCACAGTGTTCTGTGTTTGAAACGCAAAAGTTAGCAGTTCTCGAAGCGCAGTACGGCTGGAAAACCCCGAACGGCTGGAGTGCGAATGAAGTCACTCCGAGTGCACGGAGTGAGCAAGCCGAACCCACCTTATAAAGCAAAAGCCCGCAGAATCATAACCTGTGGAGCCAGCAGCCTACGTCAAGGCGAGAAAGGTCGTACTGCTACGTCATAATTGATGATTCAGTTCAGCGTGATGAGGAGCCTCAGATTTGTTTCACACAGGACTTATGAGGATAGGCTATATCCTGTAGTAGTAGTGTGTATTATTCTTGCAGATGCGCTGGCTTTCATGCAATGATTTAGTTCGGGCTTGAGCACTCCAGAGGTGTTTTCCAGTGACCCATTTGAGTTACTCCTGAGCAGCTCAGGAGTGCTCCACAATTACTTTGCGCGTTTCAGTGCTTAGAGTGTCGTACAATTGAACTACTCATTTCTATCATCCACAGCCCCCTCGTGGACCAACCTTTATTTCGGGTGTTCCATGATCCTGAAGTCCGAAATGGTGGTGGTTAAGACGAGGCCGTTCCAATGCTGCTTATGACGAACAGTTCAAGAGCGTCACACTCCAGGAGCTTGATACTCTAATAATTTAGGCACTGGAAAGCAGCTCAGGCGCAACAAACACTTTTGGAAGGACTAAGCACGTAACGCTCCGGAGCTGCTCCAGAGCTCTTCCTAGGTGTGAAAGGAATACAACTATTGGGTAAAGTCACTGGTAAAGTAGAAGAATTTTCAACCATAGGCCATTTCAAAATTGTTAAATTCAATTTCATTGGAAAACTTGTACAATGTGCAGCACTTTGTGCCCCAAGTGCATTCAGTTCTGCTCCTGCTCTTGGCGGTCGAGCGGCACCAGTGCAATTTGAAAATTCGTTGTTTTGACATTTTTCCTCCTTATTACTATCGAATATTTTCTTTATTTATCATATAAATTCAATACAGGATACAGGCAAAGGGAAAAAGCCGTATGAAATACATCAAATGTTTCAACGAGTGATCCAGCCCCAAGTCAAAAATATGAACTCCAATAATGGGATTGCACCTGCATCCTGAGTCGCTTTCCAGTGACGTGTACTTTAGGGCCAAATTCATAGTTGATCCTAGAGGTTTCCTCAGACCTTAAGGAAGCCTTGAACGCTTAAAACTGACATGACTTACTTGTGAAATAGTAACAAGTGTCCATTTTAAATACGCGACTCCAAGGAACGAATATAAATTCGGCCCTTAAGCACTCCTGAGCTGCTCTAGAGCGCGCCGGACTATTTATAGGCGTTCCAGTGCATTACAGTTTCGCGCAACTGAACTGTTCGATTTTTTTCTCCTCTGCCCTCTCCTCTCAAGCACCTACAATTTTATGGGAGCATCAAAAACACGACGCTTAGGGCCGCCTTCTCAATAGCGAGTCACCTCCGGGTTGGTATTTAACTCCAGGGTAAGCGTGTCAAGTTGCTATGTTTACTCTGGTGCTCTATGCTCAACCCGGGAGGTGACGCTAATTACTCTGTATCCCTTTTATCCGTTGAGTGACTCGGAGCTGCTCAATGTCAAAAGCTTGAACGTTCCTTTTAAAAGTGCGTTAAGCACTCGAGTCGCTCATAGTGTATCCCCCTTGCCATGACACCAAATTTGGGGGGGGTGCAAGAAGTCCTTTTAAGTAATGACGGTAGTGTTAATATCAAAAAATAATGATAAAATCTGAATTGTGTGTTTTGGAGTGACTCCGAGGAGCTCGTTCGGTGTAACTCGATACATAAAAGGAATACAGTAATTGAGAAACCGGCCATTTAAAGTAGGGTTGCGTTCCAGTGACACAACAGGGGCGAGTTCAAAAATGATACACCGGGTGTGAGTGCGATTTTACGGGTGTGAATGAGATTGATAACAATTCTAGGCGACAACTTTCGTATGAATTTCTGAACGCTTGGTGTGACCAATCGAGCATCTCCTCAAAAATTTCACCATGTATTAAGATTACTTTTTTGTTGTTCATTTTTTCAATTTGAAGAAAAAAATTTAATTCTTATTTGTGTTTTGTTTATATTTGGCGGGATTGAGATTATGGGAGGAATAGTTGACATTGTTACATAAAGACACAATCACACCCGACCACACCGCAGCCACACCTAAAAATTACAGTGTGACCGGTGCGGCACCTGGAGCGCGCCCGAAGTCTTTCTGAACGGAACAGAGTGCGCGCACCCGTTGTGCCAATAGCATTTATGAACGGCTAGTGCGTCGCACCAGTGTCACACTCACACTGAGTATGTCATTCCTGAACTCGCCCCAGTTGTTTTAGACTATAACCTTGAAATTTCTGGCGCCTTATCCAAATCTCTTGCTCCTCTTGTGTAATTAAAAAATATTTCCAAAAATATTATGTAATGTAAGCAAAACTAATTAAAATTCCATCAAGTTGATAATGTTTTTGTCCGCCCGCAAATTCAAAAATGAGACGACTGATCACGAAACTAGTCAAAACACGTCCTCCTAGCATATTGATTATCACCAAGAATAATTACTCAACATCGATAAAAACCGTTGACGAAGGTCCAGTAGCTGAATTGAAAAATCAAATAGCCGCCAAGAAGCTTCAAGAAGACCCTGTTCAACTCAAAGTAGCCGAACAGCTTCAAAAAGTCTATGAAAATGTCAAGAATTACCAGCCTGCACAAACAAATTTCTTCAAGAAATTCCTATCATCGAACAAGAAAAATGTTCCAAACGGTTTGTATATTTATGGGGCGGTTGGTGGAGGTAAGACAATGCTGATGGACCTATTTTTTAACACTTGCAACATTGAGCTTAAAAAACGCGTTCACTTCAACGAATTCATGATTGATGTTCACCATCGAATGCACCAACTCAAACAAGAGGTGGTGCAAGATTTTTCAGATAGAAAAGCGAAGCCTTTTGATCCGATTCCTCCTATAGCAAAATCGATTTTTGAAAAATCTTGGCTGTTATGTTTTGATGAATTTCAGGTAACTGATGTAGCTGATGCTATGATACTTAAAAGATTATTTACGGAGCTATTTAATAATGGCATTGTTATGATAGCTACTAGTAATAGACCTCCAGAGGATTTATACAAAAATGGCTTGCAGCGCTCAAATTTTCTCCCTTTTATAGATGTCCTCAAGCAACACTGTGCTGTGGCTAATTTAGATTCTGGTATAGATTATAGACAAAAAATCATAGGAGAAAAAACTAATTATTTTATTAAATCGAACTATAAACTAGATCCAATAGAGCCAATTTTTAAGTTTCTTTGTTCCAAAGAAAATGACATAATTAGAGGCAAGTCGTTTGTAATATTAGGCAGAGATGTCTCTTTTAGAAAAGTATGTGGAGGGATTTTGGAGACATCTTTTGACGAACTTTGCAATAGGCCTTTAGGTGCTAACGACTATCTTCACCTAACACAATTTTTCCACACAATCATCATAAGAGATGTACCTAGAATTGACCTTGTAAAAATGCGCTCTGAAGCCAGAAGATTCATAACGCTAATTGACGCCCTTTACGATCAAAAAACCAAAGTTATCATGGTAGCTGACGTACCAATTAAACAATTATTCACCTATACCAAAGCTTCAAGCGACGATATTAGTGATGAACACAGAATGCTTATGGATGACTTAAAAATAGGCGACAATGATTTGACTGCTAATATTTTTACTGGTGATGAAGAGATATTTGCTTTTGATAGAACAATTTCAAGGTTGAGCGAGATGCAGAGTCAGGATTATTGGGGCGATAAAGGTAAAGGGACAGGTAAACATCAGTAATGGGAGTTGAGACCTCTAAGAGTCCATAGCATATTTACTTTTCGATTGAGCATAAATTATAGCAGTAGATGAGATCTTATAAACGAAATTAATTATGTTGGTTTCACTAAAGCTCATTTTATCTCATTTATACCTTTTTGTTGATATATGAGTTGTTTTGTTACTTTTTATGTTTTTATCTTTGTTACAAATGAAACTAAATTACTTAAGTATTATTATTTCGTGATATATTTATTGACAGTTTATTTTACCAATGCAATGGATTTATTTGTAGTAAAAGTTTTCTAGAAATTTCAAGTTTCATTTCTTGACTATTTAAGCGTCAAATTAAAAATTAAGACCAACATAGGTAAGGTTCGTTTCACCAGGGTTCATACTTGACCTTGAAACTTGAGAAAAAAGGGTTGTCGTAGATTAATTCGTATGACACATTAAATTTTTTTGACAAATTAAAATGATAGACTTCTCTTTTAAGAACTGACGAACGTTTTTGACGTCATTGATTTGTTTCAGTCAATTTTTATTTGTTAAACAAGGAAGGCAAATGCTGGTGGCAAGTACAAACCCTGGTGAAACAAACTTTAGTTCTATTACCTAATAGAGCTTAGTAAGATTTGCATTGAGCAGTTAAAATTTAGTTTCATTTTGTTTTATATTTATTTGTTTTAATAGAAGATCTCGGCAGAGATACTTAATTTATATATTGTAAAAAAGGTTTTATTTTTACAAATAAAAAATGTTATTTTTTGAGACAGTTTTGTTTTAATTCCTCTTTTGATTATGATTCTTGACTTAAAACCCCAGACATACTTCTGATAATTATGCTTGTCTTGGAGATCCAGTAGGCATAGCTGATACTACTCAGAAAAGTTGTTTTGAGAGGTTTAAACATGGTCAAGATCGATTTTGTCCAAAAAATTACAAGTCTTCTGCCGAATAAAGATGTCTATAAATACTTCAATTATTATAATTGATGTAACATATCTCTCATCTAAATTTGAAATCAACGACTGTTGATATGAAGGAAATGCTGAATTCGTTGACTGGAGAAAAACGGAAAAGACACTAGAAGAAAGTCAAATGTGTTTTAGACTAAATCAAGAAGTAACAAATGATCTATTGGCCGGTATAGATATCAAAGACAGTAGGTAGTATTTGACATAATAAACACATGTCTGCTGTTGTATCAATCTAGAGTTTTTTATATAGAAGAGAAGTTATGTGGAGAATTTTATATCAAATATATGCCTCAAAAAATCTAATATAAGGCTTTAATAAAAGGACTTTGAACTGAGTCAGAAAGAATCAGAAATATTTGAAACTATATAGAAATGTCAGACAGTGTTGGATTCTAACATTTTCACTAGTCTTATGCCAAGCTACCTGGAAATGTGCCAGAGTGTAGCTCATTCCAAAAAACATTTTGACGGTTTGCTGTGGGACATAAGAGAATGTGTGGTCACAGAGAAATTACTTCTTGCACAGTAGTGATTTCCTAAAACTTGTTTTTTTTTTTGTTTTACAGCTATAGCAGAACTGCCTCAGATAACAGTCAACATTTTACTGCTATAGCAGCTACTGTACGCGAATGAGTTAAATACCTTGAAGCCAATAAGCTCATCTCTGACAAACAGTACGGGTTTCGTTCTAAGAGATCAACAAGTGATCTGCTGGTGTATGTCAGGAACTCGGCTTTCGAAAAATATGCGAATCTAGAATATTGTAGCATTATTGAACATCTCCAATAGGATTTTGATAAGGTGTGCCACAAAGGTCTCCTCAGCAAACTTCCATTATGGTCTTCCAAACGAATTTTGTCATTGGCTGGGAAGCTTTTTGGAAGACAGGTCACTGCATGTTATGATCGATGGTGTGTCTTCTGATACACGCACACGCTGCCTATACATTTTGTTCCCAACACTGTTTCTAATCTTTATAAATGATTTGTTTATAATGTGACCAGAAACTACATATAGCTTTGCGGGCGATAAATGCTGAAATCTTTCTCTTCTGACAGACCGCTTACTGCAGAACAGATTCACTCTACCAACAGTGATCTTGACACCATTACTAGCTGGGGCCTTAACAACCTAATCAAATTCAATGCTTCCAAAACTCAAGCAACAGCATTCTCGAATAAGAAATTTTCCGCCAATGATAACCCAGTTTTATGGATGTTGGGACAAAACATTTCGATCAATCCTTCAGTCTCTATTCTTGTGGGGTGACCCCACTGACGAACTGGTCTTGGTATGACCATGACCATGTATTTTGCTTTGTACAAAAAACTTCTTTACTTCTGAATAACTTCTCCTTTATAAAGCTCATATTGTCACAAAGGGCTTCTACCTGTAGTGACTGTGCGTCGGGGAATAGGGTTGAGTCACACACGCGTCAAATAAAGCGTTTATTGACCATGTTTTGTTACAAGGTCTTACTAAAGGGCCACTAGTTAGACTTGCAACATGGTCTCTGCGTTGGTTCGGCGTTTATATTTAGGGACGATCGACGTATAAACTTAACTATTGCGATCCTCTGAGGAGACCCTGGGGTAAGGTATCCCTGAGGACGGTTCGCTATACTCTCCCTAGGATAAGGTATGTTTCTCTGAGGAGAGTTAGATCCAAATGGATGCCGATGCTGGCTATGCATCGATCTTTTATGTTTGTGCGACAACAATACGTGCCTGTTTACTGTTTACAAAAACAATGACCTACTAAATTGGTAAACCATAGCTCGCATACTCGCATATTTTGCTAATTAGATTTACAGAGGAATTTTATTTTACCAGTTGACAGTAGCAGACCATGTAGGGAATGCTACTTTGTTCCCACATCTGGATGGCTGCTCACAAACATTCGTTGGCTCTGTTAGACTTAGATGCAGTACAGCAATAAAAATGAGTAAGAACAATAAAAATGATCGATAATCCAAGTCTCGCCGATTGATTGCAATCTCTCGAAGATAGAAGCAATAAGGTGACTTGTCGTTATTCTATCTCTATTACAATGGGAGGGAGATGTTCGGATGATATGGCCAGCCAATGAGAAGTTATTCAAGAACCATTAGACCCTCATTAGCATCCCATATCCGTATGTGGAAAAATTGGCTACCCCAAGAATCTCTAAATATAAGGCTTTTTTTTGATAGCGTGCTACTCCTATCCACCTCTGAACCTCTTTGCCTCCTACATTTCCTGAATGATTTAACCTTAACGTGTTCAAGCGGAGGGTCAAGCGTCACTTAATTTCTTCCGCTCACCATTTTTTTAGTATAGACTTTTGTCTTTTGCGAGAGGACCAATATAAAAAAAAACTATGAAAAGAACCCACATAACAGTGAAAGAACATTTATATTCTCAGAATATTCCCTCAAAGTGCTTTTTGGAATATTCTTTTAGGAATGTCTAATGAACATTCTTAGATTGTTCCGATTGAAATATTCATTTTTGGATGTTCAATTTATGTACTAGGAATGCACCTACCTGAAAGATTGTGCTAAGAACCTACTTTATATAACATTATCTGAATATTGTCACACGAACATTATTATAATGTACCCTAAAAAATGTTCTTTCGGCTAATATCTCTATCAAGTATCAAGAATATACCTACCAAGTTGTGCTGAGAAGTTTATGTAGGTAGGTACCCATGACAAGAATATTTCCATATTGTTCACCTAATTATCCAAAGTACCTACTCAAAAATCCTAATTGAACAATTAAACAATTATGCTCTATCTAGAACCTACTAAAAATATTATAGGTATATTCTTTTTCTTTTGCTTTGTAGGACTTCCAAGGGAGGGAGCCACGCGCTACTAAAGATCTACATCTTGCCTCGCATTTGAATCACCTTGGAACCTGTTTCTCTCAGTTGGCGTGCTTACAGCGACGAGAGGATAATAGGCTCGAAACCGGCTTTGGTTAAACACTTATTGTGTTTTCCAGAGAAATTTTCCAACAACTCTTTCACTGTCTTTAATATAGAAGGACTGAAAGTAGCATTATTTGGTTGGATGCGAAAATTAACATTCCAAGTATGTCCCTAGAATCAAACAAGAATATTATGTCTAGGATGCATATTGAGAATGATATATGTAGATATAGGTATTCTAAAAATATTTCAAGCATATTGGTATACTATTTTTTTGAGAACATACCTATAATGTCATAGGAACATTCTTTGAATGTGAGAATATACATTTCAAGCATATTTTTAGAATCAAACAGGAATATTCTCTTCAGAATGTAGGTACTGAGAATCTCATATAGGTATATTCTAGGAATATCCTAATGGATTTCCCAGGAAGTTTTTGGGTATTGCAAACAGTATTTCTACAATCTTTTCTCGGAACATTCTCAGGACATTCGCAATGGTTTTGGCGAACATTCTAGACACATTCCTCAAAAAAAAGAACATTCTCAGTACATTCCAAGGATGAAATTTTGTTATATGGGAAAGTGGTGAAAAGATATGAAATGGAATAATAACTATTTAAGACGTTTGTTATGTGGTGAAAAATAATATTGAATATTCCAAAGGATAGAAAACCTAAACGCATGAAAAGTTTGGAATGAAAATAAGTCAAAAGAAGACCGAAGCAATGATTATAGGGAAAAGTTTACATCAATAAGAAGCTGACCAGTCTTACTATTCAAACAAGTACACGTGTTTATGACGACAGAAGACCGATGGAAAAGTTAGGGTAGAGAAGGATAAAATATCGAGGATTAAAGTATCATCAAAAGCACATGTATTTCGGATTATTCAAGCCTTCAACAAATTATGATCTGGCGATGTTTCGATGATAGTCTTCACTAGTATAAGTAGTTAAGTATTCCTTCATTTCGTTTTGAATACGAGTAATAGTGTCCGACAATGAAAGGTATATAATGCCAAACGATTTGCAACAATGGGTGAATGCGCAAGTTCTTTTACTTTCATTAAAAAAATGTAGTTATTTTTGGTCCCAAATCGATTGTATAAAAGCCATATGCA